AAATAAATTTGTCAGTTGTATTTCTGGCAATGGTTGACGCTAAACATCATATTTGACACTCCTGCATCATCTCTTCCCGAGATAATGGCAACCCACACTCCATCCAGCCAGTGAATATGTCCTTTGCAGTTTGTGCAATTTCTGCGTCGTTAGAAATCGCACAAGCAATTAGGCACGGTATTTCACTAGACTTGATTGGTCGCTTGATTCAGTGTTCTGCTCGTCTCGTGCAATCGGCAACTCATTGTCCACAAGTAAGAGTAGAATCTGCGTTGCACAAAGGGAACGCGAAAAGAACGAAGTCGTTCCATTCCCATGTGCAGTGCAGCGCTCCATACACGGGAAATGACGAGATGCTGGGGAACAAGGCAGTGAGGCAGGTGTATCGGAACCTGCCACTGCTTCATCTGCTCCTCATTTATGCATTCTTGCCACTCTCCACTTCTTCGCTAGCGCGTCTTCTCAATCATGAACGAGACGATTGATAGCTTTAATGCATGTCGTCAACCTACCTGCCCAGCATTTCCTCTATATTTGCTTGATTGTGCATGTTGATGACTGGACTAAACGGTCTTCGTGGCACGTCTTCGTACTTTCCGTCCACCTATTCAGCCACCAAGCTCTTCGGCACGCATATAACAAGTGTTTCTCCATGGCGTTATCACGTGTAAGCAATTGAAGTGAAGACTATCGTTAATTGGTTTTTTCTAATAGGGGGGTATTTGTCGTGCCTATATTACTTGCAGATTAAGGTTAGGGAAGAAGAATGAGACACCAAGTTAACAAAAATGACTGGTTTGGATGTGAGATCAACAGCACCCATTTCGAATGTCAGACTTTTTGTTATTTCAATACAATGCGATTCGCAAAACTCATAAATGTATGAGTATTCTAGAGAGGTATAGGTGATTTGGTGGCTATGGAATTAAAGAAAACAAGCATGCAGTTGATGATTTACGCTAAGTTAGCTTATGAGAGGAGCAATACCACGCGAAAGTCTTCTGTTAACATACTGTCGCCCGACCCACAGATGCTGGGGTAGCCCATTCAGCACCGCGTGGCACCACCGCATCGTCATATTAGTACTGTAGAAAAA